GTTTGTTTCCCCAGTCCGGTCATTGTATTGTCCCTCTGCGTTTTGCCTGCCTTACCTGTAATTAAACCCCGTATTCCCCGATACCCTGACGTCTGCGCCTTTGTCTCTGTTCCGTCCCCGCTCAGCACGGCAATATTATTGTAATTAAATGTATTAATGGTTTATTATTAATATAAAAATAATTAATAAGAAATCTTTATTTCGAAATACATTTTATTATATAATAATAATTACTGTTACTGTCTATCATTGTCTAAATGTATTTTTACTGTCTAAATATATGTATTCAGCTAGTGTAAACATGCACGATGCTATTACAGCGAATGCGAGGCTGAGACTGAAGTTTTACCCTTTGTTTCTGCTGAGAGACGTGCCGCGTGACTCATTTCCCCGCGCATACAAGTTATCTTAGGTCGGTGTTCACGGTTTCACTTCTGAGATTCAGATCTAGTAATAGGTATTTTTTTCCGAACTGGTTGGTTCGACTTTTAAGAAATTCGAGTTTTAATGAACTGAGGTACCACTGTATAGACTTTGTTATGTTAAACGTTGGTTTAAAATAAAGAGTTCTATGTTAAACTTTAGTTTAAAATAAAGTTTGCTATACTATCCTTTGATTTAAAATAAAAGCATTTATATTATATAATCATTATATTGGTGTCATTTTATGCAATATAGGGCCGAATTTATCATTCATATAGTGATTTCGAGGAAATTTCAAGAAATCGCGATATATATCATGTATCGTGATATAGCTTAAAATATCGCGATATTAATTTTTTGCCATATCGCCCAGCCCTACATCACAGGTATCAGCTTACTGGAAACAGGCAACCATAATCATCTTACAGCCATTTATTATGCATACAAATCCAATTAGGCCAATTGTGAAATGTAAGTTTTCATTGTCATGCATTAAAAACTTGTTTTTTTTTTCATTTTTTCAGACATTTGTAGGGATTAATTGCTACTAAAGGTGTACAGGCTGGGTGATTGTCTGCAGGTAGTTTCTAACTGCAGCAAAGGCCAGTGTTACAGTTGCACTCTGTAATAACTGATCCAGTTCTGAGTTAAATACATTGTGATATATTAATAACATTATTTATCTCACCTGCCCACTATCTCTAGTGGCATCCTGGGAACAGGGTTGTTTATTTTTTATGCAACAGTCCTTTCTCTTGTTTCCATTTTTGGCAGATGATGAAGAAGGAGGGAATAATGAAAAACAGAGGTAAGCATTCAGCAGCACTTACAGCAGTGTGGTGTCCAGCTATGAGCATCTACCTGATCACACAGTGATGGGAAACTTCTGTTATTTTATGGGAACATTGTTTTTCTTTTTTTCCTTCAACCAGGGTGAAAATGGATAAATGGATGGATGGATGGACAATTGGGCTGATAGATGGACAGATTTTTAAAACAATATAACATGCTTAATAACCGTAGTGAAACTGACAGTTAAAATTCTCTATTTATCTATATATTTAACTATTTTTATATTCTTTGTTAATGTCTCCTGTTCCTCACATGCATCCTGTGTAATAGTACAGATGTGGCTGTACTGTGTTGCTGTAAAGCATGTAAGACTTTATTGTTCAAATCCACCCTCTTATTTAACTTTCTGGTCCAGATTGTTTGGACTGGGCTTATCGGCGCTGCTGTTGATCATCATCATCATCACATGGAAAGTGTGGGACAAACACAGTGAGTATCTGCTGATGCAGACGGTGTATAAGTGACCTGACTGTCTGAGCAGTGATGCTTGTCCCTCTGCACTCCTGTAAGCAGCAGCTACAACTTCATGCTTTTATCCTTTTCCAAAGACGACTGCACAGAGACACAGACAGCAGCATTCAGACACACAGGTTATACAGTAACATTAAAACACAAAACATGGTCATAGTCCCTTTGGGAACACAGACTAAAAACAAAAAAGCAAGTGATGTGATCAGAATAAATTCCTTTTATTTTATTTCTCATTTCTTTCTCTGTAGAGAAAAAAAGGGCCAGGAAGCATTATCCAGGAAGTACAGAATTAAAAGTGAGTTCATGTTTAACATGGGGAGAAACTGTAGAAAATTCTGCAAGGTTTTGTGTTTTTTAATAACAAAAACCGAAACCAAAGTCTGTTAACAGCCAGTAACTCATTAAGAAGTTAATCTCTGTAAATCAAGCTGATGTGAGGAGTGATTGTTTTGAATGCTGAGTTGTGACTTTGTTCTAGTTGAACCCAGACCATGAATACGCCGTCATAGACAGAACTGGCATCATCAAGGGAGACCCGGCAGAGCAGGTAAAGCACAGAAATACATAACATACATATGATGGTATTTATGAGTGTAGTTCCTGTCTCTAAACATGTCATGTTATTAGTGTGTGAAGAAACAAGATTTTATGGCTTATTTCGTAAGCCCGTTATTAAATTGTAGTTAAAATCTCTTTATGGAAAAAAGAACAAGTATTTGACAGTACTTGTAGAAGCACAAATCATTAACTGATGCACAAAATTATCACAAAATTTGATTGCTGTCGGTTTAAGAATGGACAGGTGGTTCTGTAGAGATACATGGTCATAATGTGTTCCTGTCTGAGGCCTCTGAGATACCACAATGAGAGTAAAATGTGTATCAGCAATGTCCTCACTGGGCAGGTACATCTACACCTCAGCTGATCTGCCAGATCCATGTGTATCAGAATTAGCTGTAATGTCGCAAGAAGTACCATGATACCCTGATATTTCACAGTGATTCACATGGGAGGTTTGGGAGTTTATGGATTTGTGGTTTCTGTACAAGGTGAGTTTGGACAATTTGCTCTAACATGAGGTGTGATAAATTTAGTCTGTCATGCTTCATACGTGTCATATGTTTCCGTTGACACTGTATACAACCATGATTTCAACATCATACATGCAGTTTATTTGGCTTCAAATTAAAAGCTAAATGAAAGTGAATTAAACAGACTTCCCAGATTAATCAATCAGTCTGATTTTCCGTTTCTGTAGCAGTAACATTAACACAACACACTGCCTGAAATGCTAAGGAAGGTTTTAGTGCCTCAATCTGAACTAACACATCAAGTAGCCAATGTTCATGTTTATCTGTTCCTTTTCCAGTAGGGGGCAGTAACACAGAGCTGCTCTTCAGCATGACAGCTGTGAGGGACACACAGATACTGCAGTGATGGGGAGGGATAATCACCAAAGAGGAGCATCTTACAGTGATGTCAGCTGTATTTAAACGGCATGCAGCACTGTCACGTTACAGTGTGACAGTAAGAGTCAGCTGGTGTGAAACACATTCATAGCTGTTGTGCATTTGAACAATGATCAAGGTGCTATTTGCCTCACTTGTACTTTGCTTTGGACAAAATAGAATAAATGTATTTTCTTGGCGTTCTGTGAATTACTTTTCATTAATACAAATGGAAAAAAATATCAATGGCTATCCTATTTGATTAGTATAAAATAAAATGTCTGTTACCACAATATTCAGTATTTTGAGAAAGTATTTGCCAGTGTCTGTTTTTCTCTTGTGTATATACAGTATGTACCAGTGGGGTTTACTGAGGTCTAAGGGCTCTGGCTTTAATTTTACTCTCTTCTTACTCTCTTCACTGCCCCCTGCTGGAGCAGCTTCACTGTTTCACTGCTTCCCTTCTCTCCTCTGACTGTGGAATTAAAAGCTGCCCTGTTGCTGTTATATTATGTATCAATATGTATCTGACTTGCACAGCATTTGTTTCATACATAACATTAATAAAAATGCCTTTCATCAAGCCTGCAGGCTGCAATGGTCTCTCAGTGTGTAACACAGATGATTTTTGTCTTTCAGGTGTTTGATAGGCAGGAGTTAGTTATATACTATTATTAGTATAATAGAATTAGATTATACACAATATTTTGCCCAGGAAAAAAATTGCAATAGTAGGTATACATAGTTAAAGTAACAGGAAATCCAACAGGAATGGGTATCAGGGGGTGGCATGGTGGTGCAGTGGTTAGCACTGTTGCTTTGCATCTCTGGGCCCTGGGTTGAAGCCTCTGCCATAGTTCAATGTGTGAAGTTTGCATGTTCTTCCTGTGTTGTTGTCGGGTTTCCTCTGGGTACTTTGTCCCCCTCCATGACCTGAAAACATGCTGAGGTTAATTGGAGCTGTCTGTGTGTGTCCTGCAATAGGTTGGTACCCCATCCCTGGTTGTTCTCTGCCTTGTGCCCATATCCTCTAGGATAGGCTCCAGACCGATTCCAACCATGAATAGGATATGTGGTTTCAGAATTTGAATAGACAGATGGATATTACACAACTATTTGTCTACACCAAATGAAAATATCCCAGTGTAATCTACTGGTTTCTGGTGTAACAGCCATTAAATTACCTCATCTGTAACTGGCTGGTTGGGTGCAGACCAAAGATAAACTGCACTACACCATCAGACTTTTACGCGCGGGGAAATGAGTTACGCGGCACGTTTTTTGATTAAAATGAGCTGAACTGAAATACAACTTGCATAAAAAGAAAAAAGTCTTTCTTATTATGGTGGGTTAGTAAAACACAGCAGCTGAATGCCCAAATGAGTTCAAATGAGTGCACATTAAAATAGGGCAGATATGGGCCACCCATTTTGTACTTGTGTGCCACCCATATGAGCTTGCAATTTGGGAAGAGGTGGAGACACGTTGTCCTAACACTCTAGGTTGTAAATTGAACACTATAAGAG